AGTACTGTTCAATATTTTGGTAATCTGTGGGCTTTTGTTTTTAACCTTATTTTTGTCAGTCGTTATCAAACAACGCAATTATTGAGAAAAGGACGCGAGGATTCTTGGAAAAAGAAAAAACATCTTAAAACAAGTTATAGAAGAAAGATTCGTTTAAAAGAATGCTTCGGAATTAGCTTAAGACTGTCCAAACCCCGTTAAAAACTATTTCTTCTTGATGACGAACGAAAGTAGTTCGTGCTATCGATATCGATAATAGTATATTACTCCATTTTCGCCTTTAAAATCGGCTCAAACTTCTCCAAACGTCGATCGCGTATCGAACTATAATAGAGCTGCTATTTTAACCAGTGTTGTTTAATTCGTAACAGCGACAACTAGTGAAAACCTGAACAAATGTAAACCGAATTTTTTCGATGTACCGAAGATACTAGAGAATACACAACAGAAGGCATATGCTTGTGAGACTCTCGTGACTCGTTGCATAGCATATCTTTGCAGAATTTCTTTAGTAACGCTGAATGCCTGTGATGTACTGTCAGATATTAATCGGCAAATCAGTTGCTCTTGTAAATTTCACCAACAAACTTACCTTGAAAGTTAATGCAGTAATTACAATTATTATTATATCTGCAGGTTTCAGTCTCAAAGTCTTTCGTGAAGATGTCTGACAACCACTCCGGTATCTCAGACGGTCTTGAAGAAGGCAGTGTGAGTTACTTTAGCGATGCGGTGCATTATAGTGCGTAACACGAGAAACTAGTGCTCAGGCTCCACACTGCATCTTCTATTTTGTTTCTTTTTGTTCTTTGGTGTTTTGTGACTCAGTTGACAGTTTCCTAACAAGTTTTGGAGACAAATAATAGTACTATGGTCATTGTAGAGATGGACACAACAATGACGATTCAATCATCATGGTCTGTAAGGAAAAGTAATTTTTCATTCCATCTTGCCTCAACAATTTAAAACATTGGAACAGTTAGTGCTTTTTGTTTTTTCGTATCGGCCACAGTTTTTACATGAGTTGTCGCGGGGCAAAGAATAACAGCAAACATTCCGGGAAAAGGCTGAGAAAAAATGAACACT